AAGAAGAAATCTTAAAAGTTAAAAAAAATAGAGCGATAATGTCATCCATCACAACAGCAGTTGCATTTGGAATTTAGACAAATACATTATTGGACAAACAAAAGGAGAAAAAAAATGGTTGTGTGAAGTACCCTTATTCATGTCAAACACAGCACTTCATTAAGTGAGCAGACTAGACAAACATCCATGCTAACATGAAAATCATCTCTTTAGTTTGACGAGAGGAACAAAATAACATAAATATTTTTCCAGAATCCCATAAGCCTGCAAGAAGCCAAAACAAGCTGAGAGTCATTGATACAATATAAACAGGAAAACAATAAGCAAGCAACGCCAAATATAAGTACATAACCTTAGAAACCAAAGGATATAAAAATGCAAACATAACGACGAGAACCAAGGTGAGAAATGGGGAAAAGAGAGTAAAAATTAGGAAAGAGCATGTGGATAGCCGTTATCTCTATGTATCTTCAACGGGCCAATCATTTATGAAAAGAAATTAGCACATTCAGGAAGCAGCCAAATAGCTCAAAGGAAATTGAGAACCGTCACCAGAAGCAATGGTATCCGTCCACTTATGGATGTCAATGAAGTGAAAGCGATTCCTACAGATGGATTTCAATATCAAATCATTCAACAGAAGATACCACCTGTGAAAACCAGGCTTTGTGATTTAGTTTTTTCAATATGTCTTGAATTAAAGCTTCTCTGTCTCACAGCCTTCCAAACAAGAATAAAATAAGCTAAAATATTCTCTCTGTAGGTCTCGGGTTTGAGACTTGGGAGCAGCCTCTTCATAAATGGGGGTAAGGCTAGCCGACATTCACCTCTCCCAGACCCTGCGTAAAGCGGGAGCCTTGTGCACTGGGTACGACTTTTTATTCTCTCTGTTCTCTAGTCCTACCTTTAGTTCATCCCCATGGATGTTTCCATGAGTTCTTCCCAAAAGGAACTAGAAAAATCATCATGGATCTTTCTATCAGGTCAAAACATAATTCCAAGTGTGATCACCCAAGCCAGAGCATGGATTGTGCCAGACTTTAACTGATGCATCTCCAACAAACAAATTGAAGTTTCAACGAGATTGGAGTCATTGGACCACATAATACCTGTCTAATATCTATATAAAGGTTGGCCATGTGCATTAAGTTCCGTGACAAATTGGCGTTAGACAAGAGATGAGAGAGTTCAGGGAAGCTAAATGTGAGCTCTCATGGTTGCTTGTTCTCTACCTACACCTTTATCAGCATTAAGGCCTCCAGCCTGACTTGCAGGCCATGCAGACAACATGATCCTAAATTCAGGGGGCAAATGACTCACCGCAATGAACAGAAGGTTTTACCAAGTGAACAATCTATGTTCTTTCCATTAACTTTCATAACATAGATGACAAATATAACAGTAAACTGTGCCAAAACAAAATAAAAGGCCCATATTTCCAATCCTCGAATCAGATACGGACTGTGCCTCAAGGCTTAAGGTGTAAACTGCTGTGTTTGTGGTAAATTTACTGCTCATACTCGTATCAACTAAAGACTCGTTGAATCGAAGATTTTCATGGTTACCAGAGGCTATAAGGACGTGGATGGAGCACGTATAGAGGTCCATTAAAGAAAAAAATGCATCCTGCTTCAGCACCAGAGAAACTGAAATTGCACTAATCCAAAGTTACAGCTAAAACGCCGCTGAAAGCAGCAATTCCTAATCAATCAAGCCTCAAAGGGCATAAGATTTTATATCAACTAAGAACAAAATTACTACCCTAACTTCACCATTCAGAATGCTCCAACCTAAACCCTAAACCCTATTATGACTAAAACCCTAAGACGCTCTGAAAGATAAGAACAAATTCTTTGTGATGGATGGATGATGATTTTAAAGTTTTGGATTCTCTAACTAAGGTATGAACCGATTTACGTTAAGTTATTTTTATTTGATTTCAATTATTTTTGTTTAGGGTTTAGGAGTGTATTATCTGCAAAAAAGGGCTTTGTCAGCCCAAGTCTGTGTGCGAAACAAAAGAAAGAAAAAAAGGATGTATGCCCTACTTTTTGCCGGGAAAAAAGGGGGAGTTTGTAAAGGAAAAATGGTCTTTAGTTGATGGGATTATGCTGAAATTAAGGCTATAACCATGCGAATTTCCATGGAAACTTTTTCAAAAGTAAGTGTTTTGGTGAGGGCAATTATCACCTATTCTTATTAATTTTGATTTCAATTTCTATCTACATAAAATCATGAATAATTGAAAGGAAAGATGATGTACCTAGTGACAATGGTGGTAGTGGCGGTTGTTGTTGTGGCCTCAGTAGTGGAGGTTGTGGTCATGGTGGCGGAGATGGCAACAATGGTGGTCTGAGATGGTAGTGGTCACTTTATTCTCTAAGGGCATGTTTACTTACTCGTAATCGGAATCAATTTACGGAATTAGATTCCAATTACGTGATACACCTTTGTTTACGTAATCTTAGGGAATCAAAATACATGTAGGGTCCACATGCATTAAGGAATCCCACTCCTTATTTTGAAGGAATTGGACTCCCTATACGAGGGAGGTATTTCAATTCCTGGACACTTGAGGAATCCGGAATGGATTTCTTCTACCAATTATGCCCTCACTTGTTTATAATTATCCCAACATTGCCCTTCATTTTACACTCATCCAGCTCAGTTCATTCTCCATCTCTGTCAACACCACACCCTCCGCTGCGCAGAGCCACATCACATACCTTGCCTAATCTCCATTTGTTTCACCGAATCGCTGGACTCTTACCTGAATTTGACCGTTGCACTCTCAACCGACGTAGTGAATCGGGATCAAGACGGCAACTAGACCGCTCCGTGCTGGACCATGAATGGCCTAGCTATGGGGTGGTGGCTATGGAGCCGTAAGGAGGTGGAAGATAGAGATAGGGCAAGGAAAGGTAGGGGTGGGTGAAGGGCAATGCAATTGGACCTTCAGGATGAAAGGGAGGCGTGGGAGAGATGGAGATATGGGGGATGGATGGAAATAACCATATTTTAATAAATAAATAAATAAATAAATAAATAAAAGGGGCCTTTCAGTAATATTGTTTTTAGATTTTAACCTGAATGATTTTCAAAATCTAATATAAATCTTTATTTTTAGAAATTACCATATTTAAGTAGGTATAGCACATTATTATTATTTATAAACTTAGCATTCCAAATTCTTTACCCATTCATAATTAATGTATATTTTTTGTGCTCCAATCATATTACTAGATACAAATTCATTCAAAATTCAAATTATTATTATTAAAAAAATTCAACAACAAAACAAAAACAATTTATGCATAACTTTCGATACCTTATTTTATTCATAGGTACAGAAATATCGCTACATAAGTTTCGGTACGAATGTATCTATACAAATATGTCGGTACATAACTATAGTATCTAAATGTACATATGTAAGTAATATGCATATACATATATATGGAGAAATTCATCCACAATGGAAAATATATGATAATAATGACTTTTCTTATTGTGGGAACAATGATAAATAACATTTTTAGTATTTATGGGAATCAATATAAAACCTACAAACAAAAAACTCAATAATTATTACAACCTATTTAATATTCAAAAATTACAATTAAATGCCAAGGATTAAAATTAGTTTTTAATCTTAGACAAGGATTAAAATAGAATTTTCCGTAAATAAAATGTGACATCCCACATCGCTCAGGGGAGTGGATCCTCTAAGCCTTATGTGTATATTTCCATCTCTACCTAGTACGAGGCTTTTTGGGAGCTCACTGGCTTCGAGTTCGATCTGAACTCCAAAGTTAAAAGAGTTTGCGCGAGAGCAATCCCATGATGGGTGACCCACTGGAAAGTTCTCGTGTGAGTTCCCAGAAACAAAATCGTGAGGGCGTGGTAGAGGCCCAAAGCGGATAATATCGTGCTACGGTGAAGTCGAGCCCGGGAAGTGGTCCCGCCCGGGCGGGGATGTGACAATTTGGTATCAAAGCCAATCCTTGGCCGGATGTGTGTTGACGAGGTCGTCAGCCCCTAAGGGGGGTAGATTGTGACATCCCATATCGCCCAGGGGAGTGGATCCTCTAAGTCTTATGTGTATATTCTCATATTTACCTATGACGAGGCATTTTGAGAGCTCACTGGCTTCGGGTTCCATTGGAACTCTGAAGTTAAGCGAGTTCGCGCGAGAGCAATCCCATGATGGGTGACCCACTGGGAAGTTCTCATCTGAGTTCCCAGAAACAAAACCGTGAGAGCGTGGTCGAGCCCAAATAAGATAATATCGTGCTACGGTGGAGTTGAGCCCGGGATGTGATGGGGGCCTGGGCAGGGATGTGACATAAAACCTATTTATTTATTTTTATATCGATGAATTTTATTATATAAATTTAATTTAATTAATTTGTATGAAAATAATTTATTTATGTAAGGGCAATTTAGTAATCAACTTAGTTTTAATTCCGATTGAAGTGAATTAGTAAACAACTTATATAGACTCAATATCATTCCTACTCTAATTCCAGACAGTTTTAGTAAACAACTTCAACAGGAATCTGATTCTGATTTCACCTCATTCCAATTCCTCCTCAATCAAATTCCTCTCAATCTGATTACGAATTAATAAGAGATAAAATGTATGTGGAAGGGTAAATATGTTATTTTCAAAACTTAATGAAGGTATTATAATAATAATTAAAAAATATTTATTAAAGACTCAACTCAGCATTTTATTAAAGTAACTTTTAAAAGTTAGTTTGCTTTTAAAAGCTTAAGGGTATTGCTTTTAAAATAAGCAAAGATATTTTTCATTTATCAAACATTTTTTACTGTTTAACTATGATGTGAAGCAGTTTTTTTGTGAAAAAAAAAATCAATATTAATGAGATCTTAGTATTGATAATATTATTTGTTTAAAAAAAAAAATTCAAAACCCCTTTTTTTTATAATTTTTATTCCAAAATTAAAACAATCATCCTTATTTATTTTTTCCCGAAGGTGCCTCTTTCTCTTGTTATCTTTTTAGCCCTCCTCGCTCCCCCCCCCTCGTAATGCTCTCTCTCTCTCTCTGCGACTTCACTTTGCTTCATCTCAGCCCACAGAGATCTCTCTCTCTCAAGCTTTCTCTCTATAAAGCTCAGATCGCTCCAAGCAGGTTCTCCAGACTCCTCTCTTGAATCTAACTTTACTACCTCTGCTGGTTAATTTCACATTTAATTTTATTTATTCGTCAGTAGTGATTGATCTGTAATATCATGTTTCCCAAACAAATCTCTTCATTGCTTTGGATGTTGGTGCTGATAAATTTCTGTGCTTTTCCATATTTTGCTAAATTAGGGTTTATGGAATTAATCAGATATTGTTTTGTTTATCGTTATAGCTGTTAAGTTCTGGGCATCTTCATTTTTTCAGCTGACCCTTTTTTTTTCTTAGGTCAAATTCACATGGTCTGTTCCATTTGGGTTTTATTGGGATTTCTATAACATGAATAAATACTTCTGGGTTTTTGAAATTGTTTATAATTGTTAGCAAATTTCCGCGATTTGAGCATGTATGTAGGGATTGGTTTCTAATGTGTGATTTATGGTATTGTGATATTACACTTATGATTTAGTACTTGTTACTCGAAACCGTTTTAGCTCATCATCCTTGGACTTGACTTAGCTTATCGGATTATTGGGGTTTTGTATTGCAGTTATTATGTTGCTAGTATTCTGATTCTCTTGTTGCAAATATGATATTCACAATGTATCAGTGCTTATGCTTCTACATTCTTTATCAAATCTTACTAGATTTTGTGGTGCTTAAAGTTTGATTTTATTTGTCATATTTTTTCAATTTATTGATTTTTTTATTGGTTGGTTATGATTCTAATGTGTGGTTTGTGATATTACACTTATGATTGACTTCTCGAAACCGTTTTAGCTCATATTACTTTAACATATGAGCTCAAAGACAAAGCCTTTTGGGCTTTTAACTTCAACTTAAAGTGCCCGTGTGTGCTTATTGGGTTATTAAAATTTCTCGTTGTCGTTTTTACTTTGCTATGTTGTGGATCTCTTGTTACAGATATGATATTCACAATGTATCACTTGTTATGCTTCTATATTCATTATAGCGTTGTTTTTTATATGTATTGATTTTCTAATTGCTTGAAATGGGTATGTGCTTTCCGCTGTAAAAATTTCGAAGGTTGTTTTTCTTTCATGCATTTGTTAGGTCTTGAATAACTTAAAAAAGCATGTTGCTATGGCTCTCGTGTTGTTATCATGTGTTTTTCTTTTAACATCTTGGTAGTTTCTTCAATATGTTTCTTAACTAATATTACGGATTTTAAACTCTCTGTAGATAGTCATGCAGGAAGCGACTCCTGCCCCTGCTCCCCATGCCCAATTTGCCTTCGTGGAGCAATATTACCATATTCTTTCCCCATCTCCACAGTTAATGCATTTTAATTTTTATCAGGATTCAAGCTCTCTGAGCAGGACGGATATCAAGGGTAATATGACAACAGTGACAGCCATGGAAGTAAGTATTCTTTCAATATTTTCATGACGTAGTTTCTACTTCAAGCTCATGGTTCAGTTTTCACAGAGATTATTTTCTAACAAGTTTTGAGATTTGACTTTCAATTTTTGTGTGGGCTTAACATGAATTAGGCAGTGCTTTTCTGTATGTTTCGGATTCAGTTTTTCACTTTAACACATTTAAGAAAGTTTAATTTGTAGCAAGCATGTAGAAATATGTATATTTTGTAATGGTTGAACATGAATTTGGCAGCTTTTACATTGTTGTATTAAACTTTTCAATAAGTGCATGTTGAACAAATACACAGACAGGATGTCTTTGATGCTTAAGGCTCCAAATTTAGACATTTATTGACCAATTGTAACTAGCCTATACGGTAACATTTTTTATATGATACGGTGGCTGATTCAGATGGCCAATGCTCTAGTCATGAAATGATGAAAATTTTGTATTTAGGCATTAACTGCATGTTGAACATGTCACAGTATAAGAAGCGAGGCCTTTAATGAATCAAATTCATGCCCTTTTTCAGGCCAAACCTTTTGTTTTGAAAATCTTGAAATATTGTGCATCACTTCTTGGACTTGATAGAAATTGAATTATAGAAACCTAATTGTTTTTTTGTAAATAATAGAGATGATAAATATTACGTTTGTTAACATTGCATTATCTTTTGGAACAGGCGGTGGGTGAAAAAATTCAGTCCTTAAATTACGGAGACTATACGGCAGAAATAAAAACAGAAGATTCCGTGCATACTCAAAAGGAGGTTAAGGATGGTGCTCGTATGGATGTTTGTAGGACGGAAAAGTCTCAGGAGACTAAAAGGGCTAAGTTTGAATCAGTTCCTCCAAAGGTGGATGAGTTTGGGAGATTGGTCAGAGAAGGTTCCAGTGATAGTGACTCTGACGATTCACTCTATAATAAAAGGTATAATAAAAGAGGTAGAAGTCGAATACATAGCCGTAGCCGTAGCCGTAGCCGCAGTCGCAGTCGCAGTCGGTCTCCTCTTGATAGCAGGAGGGGAAGTTCATGGAGGAGAAGAGAGAAGCGAAGCCGTTCTCGGAGGTACTTCCAACTGTGCTGTATCTGCATTGTTTTGTTTGGTGGGCTGTTTATAGTTGACTTGAGTTTAGGTCTGAGGCATCTAAATTGCCGGGGTCTTTATTTGTCTTTTATTATGATTTCATAGAGTACAGTATCTGAGGGGAATAATAAATATTCCTCTTGATTGTTTGTGTTCCCAGTCGGTTCTAGGAATCAAAGAAGCAGGAGTAGGAGCAGGTCCCCCACATTTAGGCGCGCAAATGAGTTCAGAGATGGCAGTAAGAGACAGGACCGGCGCCACATTCCAGAATGTTTTGACTTCCTTCGAGGCAGATGCTACCGAGGAGCACACTGTCGGTATATGCACCGGGAATATGACAAGAATGATGGTTCAAGGCAACATAGGAGCAAACCAACCCTTTTCGAGTCTCAGCCTGGTTTCAAAACTTTTGGGATTAAGGAAAAGGTTGATGAAATTAAAGCTCGGGAGATGCAACTCTGTGAAGATGCGCCTATTGCTAGAAAAGATGGTCAGTTGATTGATGCTGAGAAAATGAATTGTGAGAGTTCTAGAGTCACAGATATTGCAGTGCAAGTGAAACAAATAGTTCCTGAAAACCTTAGGGAAACCACCACTCGCATTCCTGACGGAAAAGAATTTCACGAAGTGCAAAAATCTCACCACCCACCCCCTCAGCTAATAAGCAGTGCTGATAATATGAAGTCATCTGATGGTACTTCCGAGGATGTGCTTCCTCTTATGAATAAGTCCGTAGTAGAGCAACCTCAAAAGGCTGATTGTCCATCTGTTCAGATGGAAAACTCTTTCATGACTGATCTGTCACCGGTTCGAGCATCCACGACTTCTCCAAATATGGTTTCTAGTAGTGAGCCTTTACCAAATGCAACTGCGTCGACTAATGTGTGGCCCATCAAAAGTTCTAATGACCAACCACTTTCGTCACAATTCATGGCTCCTAATTCTAAAGAGTTACCTCTTCCCAGCATCTCTGCTGCAAATGTTCCATATCTTTCAGAGCTGCCCCTTCCTCCACCTCCTCCTCAACCTTCACAAGGTGCCAGTGCTGTTCATGCTCCACAGATGCATAGGGATTACAATTTGATGCCACTCTGTCCACCGCAGTCTATATCTTACCAAGGTTCCTTACCCAACCAACATGCTCAGTTCTCTCTACCACCAAATTCCCCTTGGACATCCTTACCCCCGCCACCTCCACGACCACTGTATGATTCATCTTTAAATGCAGGAACTACCGCACCAGGTGGTTCTTCACAGTTTCAGCCGAACCATTTGGTTCCAAGGAATGACTTTGGTTCTCAGCCTTCTATCAGGCCTTACTCAACTGTATTGCCTTCTCATTCTCAGGCTGGTGATTTTCTGCATCATATGTACCCTCCAATGCAGGAATTTCCTCGCCCTGTGTTGCATAGAGCAGATTTTGGATCAGGCAACTCATCAAGTCAACCATTTGGAGGCCTTGGTCATATGAGAGAAGACCGCTTTACACATGCTCCTGTGCAGGATTTAAGTTCTTCACACGCTTTTGCTCATGGCAACACGCACCCACAACCTGGTCCTCCTTCACAGGAATTGACTATGAACAAATTGCAAAATTTCTCTGGTGACAATTTTCCTTCTGGCGACCTTTTAAATTCATCCTTACAGATTCATCCCCGTTCACAGAACCAACAGCCAACCTATAGCACACAATACCCTGTTGGTGATGGCATCTTGGGTGTGCCTGGGAAGACTGGTGTGCAATACCCTGTAGGTGATAGCATTTTGGGTTTTCCTGGGAAGGATGGTCCTATGTCCCAATACCCTACAGATATTGTGGACAGAAATCAATCGTCTCGCCTTCCTGAATTTGGGGCATCTAGAATACCTACACATCATAATCCTTACGCATCTACTTTTGAGCAGCCACTATCCTCCAAATTCAGTTCTAACATTCACAATCAAGACAACGGTGCTCCCTCTGGTAACATGTTTGATACTCCCTGCAATTTGAGCCAAGTTCTTGTGGATGGGCAAGGTGTTGGCAGTGTTGGATCAAGACAGACTACTTCATCACCAAGTTCTGCTAGAGCTGCTGGACAGCTTTTGCCCAAGTCAGATGGTGAGCAGTATGATCCCCTTTGGGACAGCATTGAGCCATCATCAGCTTTGCTCAAGAAACATGGTCATGGTCAAAAACAGGAATCTGCCGGTGATTCCAATATCATTGTGAGGCTCAGTGAGAACAAGCATAAAGAGGTTGAAACCGTTGCATCAGCTACATCTCTGGATATTGATGAGTTTGGTGAGACAGCGGATGCAGAAGTGGGTGTTGTTGAGGACGAGAGTCTGAGTGATCCTGGTGGTGCAGCAAACATGGCTGGTGAGATTGAGATTGATCAGGTGGAGTCTCCAGGGAAGAGCAAGAAGAAAAAGGATTCAAGATCAACGAGACTTTTCAAGATTGCTATTGCAAATTTTGTAAAGGAAATTCTGAAGCCATCGTGGCGGCAGGGTAATATGAGCAAGGAAGCGTTTAAGACCATTGTCAAAAAGACTGTTGATAAGGTCTCTGGAGCCATGAAGAAGCACCAGATACCCAAGTCAGAGGCAAAGATAAATCACTACATTGACTCGTCACAGCGGAAACTGACAAAACTGGTGATGGTAAATACTTTTTCCTATTCCTTTCTGCTTTGAATGACATGGTGGTGTTAGTTGATTGGGATTTTGACACAAGGCACAATGGCACACCCTCTTAAACTTCTCCATAATTAATTTTTTGTTCTCCGCGTGAAAAGAGGATGAAATTCATAGTTTGAGGCCTGATGCTTTCGGTCTTAGTGCGAGAACATGTCGCGTAGTTTGATCTTCACCGTTTTCTCTATATGATCTGCAGGGTTATGTTGACAAGTATGTGAATGTGTAGACGTCAGCTGTGTTGAAGCAACCAACCAGCACGCAACGGCACAAGTTCTTGAGGGTGTCATCTCGGACCAAAAGAGAAATGGATCTCTCAATGAAGATTAAAGTAGAGCCTTAGACCTTTTGCAGTAAGTCACAACTATATAAACAGTGATCATTGTATACTATATATATAGTGTGAATTCTAAGAAGGTTGATTGAATGGTTCGGTGAAATGCGGTTATAATTATAAGTTAACCATGCTGGGAAAATTAATAGTCAAATAAGTAAATAAGACAATCGATGCGGGATGACCCAGTGGTTAGGGATGAATTCTAGGTCTGTATTGCATATGGCACGTCCCGGGTTCAGTTCCTAGCGCTCGGGAATCACGCGGTGGTAGCCAAAAGAGGTTGAAATGCCTCTTTGAATCTTTCTGTTCCCCATAAGGGTGGATTGTCTTGGGGAAGTTACTAGTTGGTCCCTTTTGAAGAAAAATCATGTAAATAAGACATGATAGATGGTGACAACGAGCATAATGAGCGGCGAACGGGATAATTAGGGATTTAACATATATATCCATGTTGCAGTTGACCATATTAACCCAAAATTCATTAAAATTTCTAGCTAATTACGAGATTTTATGCAAGAGACTTGTAATTCAGTAGATTAAGAACTATGCACTTCGCCCAACTTTGGCAGTCACGTTGAACTGTTAAATTTAATCGATGATAATCCGCATAAGCTTTAGCCTTTAGCTAGTAATCAAGGAGAGCTGAAATGGTTAAATCATTTGTTGTGCGTATATCCGATCGGGCGCCCGTGCATGGCACGTAACGGGCAGTGGAATGCTAGATACCATGCACCGGGCAATGGAACTATTCGATGTGCGGTCAAAGGTTCAATGGCCAAGAATTGATTGGCCGAAAATCTCCGTGGGTAATATATAAGGAAAACTAATGAAAAAGTGTATAGCCGAAAGGCTAGTTGGCAATAGGGCTTTCCCAAATCTAGGAGGACCTGGAGCTGTTATGGAATGATAACAAGATCGCAAACAACAATGCACATTAAGATTTCGACAAGGCCTAGGGGGCAACTTCCCCTTGATCCAGTCAGGGACATTCTGCTAGATTCCGACTCACCCTCGTCAAAATTGGGAGTTTTAATGAAAAGCCCATGGTACTGTTCACTTTAACGAAAAACCACATTTTTACACTAAAAAATCAAATCTTGTACTATTCACTTTACCCTTTATTTTTCTTATCGTTAAAACTCAAAGTTTTCAAGCCATTTTCATTAGTTTTCCTGTCAAAAATTTGCTTAACTAGAAAAACCCGTTTCTGCCAAATTGCTGGAAACTCAATTGCCTTCGATGTCAATTGCACTTTCATCTCTTAAACAGTGAGATCAGAGAAACTTGCTCATATTCGTTCCAAATCCGAAACCTAGGTCTTCATACGGTTGCAGTTGGGGAAAGACAATCACAGTGACACACAAGATTTGCAAAATTATAGCAAGTAGAAATCTTAGAAGTTATAAAAACGAGCGATAATGTCATCGAATCACCCAACTGCGGTTGCATTTAGATTTTATACAAAAACATTATTGGACAAACTAAAGGATAAAAAAAAAAATAGTTGTGTCAAGTACCCTTTATTCACGTCAAACACAGCATTTCCTTAAGTGAGCAGACTAGACAAGCATTCATGCTAACATGAACAGCATCTCTTTAGTTCGACGAGAGGAACAAAATAACACACATATTTTTCCAGAATCCCATAAGCCTGCAAGAAGCTAAAACAAGCTGAGAATCACTGATACAATTAAACACGAAAGCAACAAGCAACCAACGCCAAATAAGTACACAACCTGAGAAGTCAAATGATAAAAAATACACAAACACAACAACAGGAACCAAGGAGAGAAACAGGGAAAAGAAAAACCAAAAATTAGGAACGAGCACGTGGATAGTCGTTGTCTCTATGTATCTTCAACGGGCCAATCATTTATGAAAAGAAATTAGCACATTCAAGATGCAGCCAACGAGCTCATAGGAAATTGAGAACCATCACCAGAAGCATAGATTGTGCCAGACTTTGACTGATGCATCCCCAACAAACAAATTGAACCTTCAACAAGATTGGAGTCATTGGACCACATAATACTTGTCTAATATCTGTATAAAGGCTGGTCATGTGCATTAAGTTCTATGAAAAATTGATGTTAGACGAGATGAGAGAGTTCGGGGAAGATAAAAATGAGCTCTCATGGTTGCTTGTTCTCTACCTACAAGGTTATCAGCATTAAGGCCTAAATTCAGGGGGCAAATGACTCACAGAAATGAACAGAAGGTTTTTGTACTAGGTGAAGAATCTATGTTCTTTCAATTAACTTTCACAAAATAGATGATAAATATAACAGGAAACTGTGTCAAAAACAAAACAAAAGTCCCATATTTTCAACCCTCGAATCAGGTACAGACTATGCCTCTCATACTTGTATTCAACTAAAGACTCGTTGAATCGAAGATTTTCATGGTTTCCTGAGGCTATAAAAGATGTGGATGGAGCACCTACAGAGGTCCGTTGAAGCAAAAAATGCATCCTGCTTCAGCATCAGAGAAACTGAAATTGCAATAATCCAAAGTTACAGCTACAACGCCGCTGAAACCAGCAATTCCTAATCAATCAAGCCTCAGAAAGCATAAGATTTATCAACTAAGAACAAAATTGCTACCCTCACTTGACCATTCACGAATGCTCCAACCATAAAGCAGACACAAACACAAACTCAACAAACTCAAAACAACAGAAACCACCTTCATCACGAAAAACCCGAAACACAAAACCTTTTTCATTTCTGTCGAGCTATTAACCAAACTAAAGGGATCAACTTCCTGCACAATTCTATTCCAAAACACAATAAAGACTCCTCCTTTTGCATATATATCACTCCATTAGTAAACTTTCACAAAAAAAACTAACCAAAAAACACAAAATTCCACTTAATTTGCAGAATGCCCAAAATAAAAACCCTAAATTAAATTAATTAAAGCCTTAAACTATCAAATTAATGAAAAATTGGATGAGGGAAACGAACCCAATTCATTTCTGGTAGCCTCCACCTCGAGCATTGTAATCCTCTTCAACGGCTTCGGCCAAGTAAACAGGTGGGAATTCCGAGACGTTGAATGTCGTCCTCTCCTTCATCATCTTCTCCACATCCGCCTTCTTCAAAACGGTGCGTCTAATCGGTGGCCGGTTGCGCCTCTGGTCGCGGGTATAGTACTTGATGTCGTACACGGTTTCCGGGTTGGAGGTGGGCACGCAGGCCTGGACCTTGGTCGTGGCTGGGCACTCGACCCGGTACTCGAGCGCGCCGGGCACTGCTAATTTGTACTCCGGGTCGGCACACGGGCCGGTTATTTCCCACGGTTTCTTGAAGTACCGCTTTAGGGTTTGAGCGAGGGATGACACGGCGGTGGAGACCGATTTCGCCATTGGAGAAGTTTTGAGATGCAGATCAGGTGAGAAATTACAGAAATCCAAAACAAATAAAATAATAATAAAAATTAAAATTTATTAATAAACTCACCCCCATTTAATTACTTTCAAGCAATTTTTCTCATACGTTCTATTATTATTGTTAGAACCCTAAAACGCTTTCATAGAAAAAACAAGCTCTTTTTGACACAATAAATGATTTAAATTATTAATTATAATCTATTATTTCGAAATTTTATTCCTAAAAGTAAATAAGCTTTCATTAATGAAGGGCAAATTGTCCTTGCCCAAATTCATAAATTAAAATCGTAATCTTTATTTAATTTTTTTTGACACGCCGGAAAAGGCAGCGTAAGGACGAACGCCTCATGACCTTGAATTTTTATGAATTAAAAGTGTGTACAAGTTAATCCTTATTTGTACTTATTGAATGATATGTTTAGCTAAGAAAATTTGGTTTAAAAAAATCAAAGGATTAAATGGGTTCGTAGGCTAAACCTTTCACCGGAAGAATTCCAAAGATAATTTAACTCTTGTTCTGAATCAACTTTTGACCGATTAATGGCCTATTCAAGTATTCGAGTTATCGTAATCTCTAAACTCAATCCTTGGAAACTATTAATCAAAAATCCCTAACCGAAACCAATAACCCCAATTACCAACCCTTAATTTTTGAAGTTAAAATAAATTATATTTGGCATGTGTATTTCTGGGCTGGAAAACTAGAATTCTACAAATATTAAAATTAATTTTTAAGAAAAATTATTAATAATTAACTTTTATGATTTAACTTAAAATTGTTTACAATAAAAGAAATTAATTGGCGAATTTCAGTTCTTATTAAATATTAAAATTAAAAAATCGAGTTCTCCTATTTCCAAAAACTTAATGTTATTTAATCTAACCTAAAAATTTCTACCAAGTTGTTTGATAACATTTTCAATGAATTTTAACGATATTTAATTCAATCTATTAATCTAAAATTACAACTTAAAATCCAAGTGCCCGGGTTGGACATTTAATTAATTTACCTTCGAACAAAAATGAGATTATTATTTATAAATACCCGTAAATTAATTGAATTCTTAAGTTTTTGGTGTTTTAGAAAGCTAAAACTAAATTCAATAACGACCCTCTCACAATTCCCCCTAAAAAATTATTGCTAAAATTAATTTTAAAAAACTAAAATTTAAAAATCTTGAAAATTGGCTTCGTCAATTATGCATATTGTTCAGAATACCAGATTTTAGCTATTAAATGTGAGATAATAATGTAGCTCAATCACAAATTATTAATTATAAATTAAAATTTAAAAGTACATAAAATTAAAAAAAATTTTACATTATTAATATTTTTAGTTTTTGAAATAATTTAAGAAAAATACATAAATAGCTTATGTCTAAATTTTTTGCTCGTTCCCTATTAATCTCCTAAAATGATTTTGTTTGTAAAAGTGGGCAAAAGCATACATAACAATTTTTTTTTCATAAAAATATGTCAATGGGGCTAAATTCAACTAATAACCGGGCCTAAATGAAAACCAAAACCTTAAAAATGTATTGAACAAATCTTCCAAAATATGCTATAATTTTTCCTATCCAAATTATTTCTGGCCAAATACCATAACCCCCTTTTCCTCCAATAACAACGAAAAAAAAAATGAAATCCAAGAAAAATTTTAGGCAAAAATCATAGAATATTAAATTCAAGAAATAGCGGCTCACATATTTATTTTTTTTAATTTAGGATTTAAGACAAGAATAAAATCTAATATTACTAATTTCATACTCGAAAAAAAAAAATTAATTACTAATAATTCCGGGCTAAAATACTTTAGGCTAATATGAAGGTTTAGCAGAAAAGATTTTCTGATCTAAATTTGATGGGCTAAAAAATTTGGCTTTTCCCAAGGGTTTGAGAGGCGATAGTATAAAAATTCGATCTAAAGATTATAAAGTAATATCCCTTTTCAAAAATCCAAAAAATAAAAACCAAAAACTTTTTGAAAATAAAACCTTGGGTTTATTTTGGTTTACTTTCACAGAAAATTCATATTTAATGATGTTATTTAAATCTTATTTTTTTCACATTTTTCTTAATTTTTGATCGTCGGTTCAGATGAAATTGAAAAAGTAAAACGATTGAAATTAAAGTAATGTTATTCATACTATGTTTTTGTGTTTTTTCATACCACCTTAGGTGATATTTGATATGAACAGCCACATCATTTAAATTAATCAGATTTTTAAATTTAGCTCATTATTTAATAACTAATAATTAAAAAAAAACTAGTTACTTAAATGATGATTGTGGTATACGATGAGTCTTCCTCCTTCATTTCCTTGGGTTTTGCAATTTTTTCAAATGATGTGACTGTCCACATCAGATGCCACTTAAAATGTTATAATAATGTAGTGTAAAATTATGGTATGAATAACATTACTTTTGAAATTAGCGTGTGAAAAGTAAAAATACGTGTATGGGTACAGAATAGCACCACCCAATTCTATTACTTAAATTACAAAGTTGAACGTTGACCAAGATAAAATCACAATGTAAAGTTAGTAAACCCATCCCATCATTCCCTTCCCAAATTAAAAGATCCAAAAACCCCTTTTTAATATTTTTATTCCAAAATTAAACAATTTTCCTTATTTGGGTTTTCCTGAAGGAACCTGCTTCTCATGTGATCTGATCAAATATATAAAAAGCTTCAGCCTTGAGCAACTTTCCCCACTTTCTTCTCTCTTTTTAGCCCTCCTATCCTCTGGCGCTGTTCTCTCTCTCTCTCTCTCTCTCTCTCTCTGCAACTTCACTTTGCTTCCTCTCACCCCACAGATCTCTCTCTCTCTCTCTCTCTCTCTCTCTCTCAAGCTTTCTCTCTCTAAAGCTCAGATCACAACCAAGCAGGTACTCCAGAGTCCTCCCTTGAATCTGACTTTCTTTATGTTTACAGTTTACTGCCTCTGCTGGTTAACTTCACATTTGATTTTGTTATCTGTCAATAGTGATTGATCTGTTCATGGCATGTTTCCCAAACAAATCTCTTCATTGCTTTGGATGTAGGTGCTGATAAATTTCTGTGCTTTTCCTTACTTTGCTAAATTAGGGTTTATGAATTTTAATCAGATATTGTTTGTTTTATCATTATAGTTGTTAAGTTCTGGGCTACTTCAGTTTTTCAGCTGAACCCCTTTTTCTCTTAGATCAAATTCACATGGTCTGCTTCATTTGGGTTTTATTGGGATTTCTATAACATGAATAAATACTTCTGGGTTTTTGAAATTGTTTATAATTGTTAGCGAATTTCCGCGATTTGAGCATGTATGTAGGGATTGGTTCCTAATGTGTGATTTGTGGTATTGTGATATTACACTTGTGATTAAGTACTCGTTACTTGAAACTGTTTTAGCTCGTAATCCTTGGACTTGACTTGTGAGCTTATTGGGCTGTTAAGGTTTTGTTTTGCAGTTATTAATTATGTTGCTAGTTTTCTGATTCTCGTTACAAATATGATATTCACAACGCATCATTGCATATGCTTCTGTACTCTTTATCAAATCTTTCTAGATTTTGTGGTGCTTAAAGTTTTATCTTATTTGTCTTATTTGTTCAACTTATTGAGTTTTTTATTGGTTGGTTATGATTCTAATGTGCGGTTTGTGATATTACACTTGTGATTGACTTGCTGAAACCATTTTAGCTCATGGTACTTTAACATAGGAGCTCAAAGACAATGCCTCTGTGCTTTTTGCTTCAACCTAAAGTGCCCGTATGTGCTTATCGGGTTATTAGAATTTCTCATTGTCGTTTTTACTTCTCTACTTTGCTGATTCTCTTGCTACATATATGATATTCACAATGTATCACTTGTTATGCTTCTATATTCATTGTTGTGGTGTTCTTTGAATGTAAAGATTTTCTAATTGGTTGAAATGGGTATGTACTTTACGCTGTAAAAATTTTGAAGGTTGTTTTTCTTTCATGCATTTGTTAGGTCAAGAATAAAAAAGCATGTTGCTTTGGCTCTCTTGTCGTTATCATGTTTTTCTTTTATCATCTTAGTAGTTCCGTCAATATGTTTCTTACTAATATTACAGAATTTAAACTTTCTGTAGATAGACATGCAGGAAGCGACTCCTGCCCCTGCTCCCAGTGCCCAACTTGTTGGCAATGCCTTCGTGGAGCAATATTACCATATTCTTCACCAATCTCCAGAGTTAGTGCATAGGTTTTATCAGGATTCGAGCTCTCTGAGCAGGATGGATATCAAGGGCAATATGACAACAGTGACAACCATGGAAGTAAGTATGCTTTCATATATATTCATGACGCAGTTTCTACTTCAAGGTTCACGGTTCAGTTTTCACAAAGATTAACATGAATTGGGCAACTGTTTTTCTGTATGTTTCCGATTCAGTTTTTCACTTAAGGTATTAAAGAATGTTTAATTGGTAGCTAGCATGTACAAAAGTATATATTTTAATAATTTTATAATGGTTGAACATGAATTTGGCAGCTTTTCCATCATACATTGTTGTATTAAACTTTTCTTTATGTGCATGTTGGACAAATACACAGACAGGATGTCTATTTGATGTTAAGGCTCCAAATTTAGACATTTATTGACCAATTGTAACCAGCCTAAACAGTGACATTTTTTATATATAGGGTGGCAGATTAAGATGGCCAGTGTTCTAGTCATGAAATGATGAAAATTTTGGTATAATGGCATTTATTGCATGTTGAACATGTCACAGTATAAGCAGTGAGGCCTTTAATGAATCAAATTCACGCCCTTTTCCAGGCCAAACATTTTGTTTTAAAATCTTGAAATATTGTGCATCACATCTTGGATGTGATGTAAACTGAATTGAGAATCCTAAATTTTTATAGTGAATAATAAATGTTGATGATAAATATTACATTTGTTAACATTGCATTATCTTTTGGAACAGGCAATAGGTGAAAAAATTCAGTCCTTAAATTATGGAGACTATACGGCAGAAATAAAAACAGCAGATTCTCAGGAGTCTTATGAGAAAGGGGTGATTGTTCTCGTGACTGGATGCTTGACTGGAAAGGACAATGTGGGAAGAAAATTCGCGCAGACATTCTTTCTAGCTCCACAGGAGAAAGGGTACTATGTGTTGAATGATGTTTTTAGGTATA